TCCATCCATTTTTTTCTTCCATTTTTCCACCCAACCATCCATCTATCCATCCATCCATCCACCCATTTTTCCATCTATCCATCCATTCATCCATCCACCCACCCACCCTCCATCCATTCAACTTTGCAATTCTGTTCAGTCCAATTCCATTCAGTTCAACTAATTTCAGTCCAACTCACTTTTATTCCATTCATAGGATTACTGGGGCTTGCCATGGGTCAAGCTCATGTGATCAGTGAGGTACGTCTTCGTTCTCAAGGAGCCCATGGGGAGACTCTGCCCCATTCTTCATGGTCGACTTTGAGCTTCACCTCTGTCAGTCCTCTGCCAGTCCCTTCAGCAGAAACAATGGATTCTAAATGGCTGTCCTATCTGGAGAGTTCAGTCTGGCTTTCATGTAGTCCACAGGACAGAGCTAAAATGAGGAGAGAGGCAAAAGTTGGGAAGGGGGTGAGAGTTAGACGGGCTAGTGGGACAGGGATGTTGGCTCTGTGGAGGGAAGAGCTTCCATTCAGCTGTGAGCACTCTAGTAAAGATTGCATGTACTGGGGGAGGGAGGCAAAAAGGAGGGGCAAGGAGACTGCCCTCGGTGAAGTGGGTCAGCATGGTGGTGAGGATGCGTGCTCTGGAGCCAATGGACCATGGGCTTGTGGTCCTAGATCCACTATATTCCTGCTGTATGACCTTGGGCACACATCTTAATCTCTCTGAGCCTCAATTTCCTTATTTGTAAAATGAGGATAACAAGATCTACCTCATAATGTTGCTGTTAGCATCCACAAGTCCAAGTGCTTGAATTAACGCCTGGCACAAAGATAGAACTCATATATTCTAGCTATGGCTATTGTCACTCTTCACTGAGCTACATCCAGATGCTGTACTAGGAGTTTTCACTTTGCTCACTCTGAGCATCCAACTGCTAACCCAATGTTGGGGCTATTGAACCCATTTTACAGATGACAAAACGAAGGCCCAGGGAGTCTGTCTCTCACTCCCACCACGCAGTTGGTGAAGACTAGAGCCAGGCTTCAAATGTAGACCTTTCTAACCCCACTGCCCCTGCCTTCCTGCCTTCTGTTTCTCACTGCTGCTCAAGGGATGAGTGCTCTAAGATGCAGAGATTATAAGACTTCCATCCCCGTTTCTGTCCGGACACTCTTTTGGCCTTCTCTATTTTTAGCCCTGAGTTGTTAATTGTTGTTTTATATGTTTTTTTCTCTCTTCCCAGAGAGCATGAGATCAATAAAAAAAGTTTTCTCCTGCACAGCAATGTTGACTTTGACAATGAAAACTACAGGATTTATGATGTCTCCCTTTTTGCCTTGCTTGCCAGGAAGCTTTTATGTTTTGTCATACTATTTCCTTCTCTCTTTTTTTTTTTGAGTTGGAGTCTCACTCTGTCGCCTAGACTGGAATGCAGTGGCTGCTCCCGGCCACCGCAGCCTCGACCTGCTGGGCTCCGGCGATCCTTCCGCCTCAGCCTTCTAAGAAGATGGAACTACAGGCGCGCTCTACCACACCTGGCTAATTTTTGATTTATTGTAGAGATGAGGTCTTGCCAAGTTGCCAGGGCGGGTCTCGAACCCGTGGGCTCAGGCAATTCACTCACCTCGGCCTCCCAAAGCGCGGGATTACAGGCTGAGCCACCGAGCCCGACCTATTTCCTTCTCTTTCCAGTGATTTTGGTTTTCAATCTTTATCGGCCTTTTAGTTTATGTATCTTTTACTGCACTCATAGAAGAAGCTGAAATAGATGAAAAAGGGCAGATTGCAAATTGCAACTAAGTAATTCAAATAAAACGACAGACTTTAGGAAAGGGACATGCCTTTCTCATATCTGTCCCTTGCCATTGTGTCTAGCCCTGGCTCTGGCTTGGTGAATTTTGCATGGAAAAATCAGTGGTGATTTTCCCTGTCAGGTCTGCGTCAGTGGCTCTTATGCTTTTAGAAAATGATCCACAGGCCTGCCCTTTGGAGTATAGGACTGACCTCTGTTCACCTCTTCCACCACATGCTGTGTCACTTGTCCCCTTGCTTTCCCAGTACAACCACTGGAGTCATATTTACGCTTTCGTACAAGCCAAGTCATTTCTGCCTCAGGAAAAGAGGCTTCAGAAATGCTGTACCCTCTGCCTAGACCCCTCTGCTCTTTCTCACCCCCTGTTTTTGCCTGGCTCATCCTCCCCACCCTTTACATTTCAGCTGGAAGCCAGCATCCCTGGAGACGGGGGTCTCCCTGACTGCTCTATCTAAAGGGGGTTGTGGTGGCTAGTCTGCAAAGATGGCCCCAGCCTTTCCTCATCTCTCAGGGGCATGCTGCTATTCCCATCAAGGGGAAGACTCTGGTTCTCCTTCCCTGGAATAGGGGGCCTTGGGAACAGGGCTAGGCCTTGGGGCTGGCTTTGGCCAGTGGAACATGGCAGAGGTGACTTGCTGAGATTCTGAAGCTAGACCTTCAGATGAATGAAGGCTTCTATTTTCTGCCATTTGAAGCCCAGCTGGCATGTTGTGAGAGGCCCACGTCGCACAGAGAGACCATGGTGGGGCAGGGAATGGGGTGTTTGGGTCAACAGCCCCAGTTGAACTCCCAGCCGGCAGTCAGGGAGTGTGTGTGTGAGCCAGTGTGTGTGTGAGCCACTTGGTTGTTCCAGTAAAGTTGGTCTCCTGGATGACTACAACCCCAGTCAATATCACATGGAACAGAAGATCTGCCCAGCCAAGCCCACAGAATTGTGAGAGATAATAAAATGGTTATTGTGTTAAGCCGCTAACTTTTTAATAAGCAAAAAAGATGTTACTCCCTGATACAGTTCTCTCTCTCTTTCTCTCTTTTTCTTAGAGATACAGTCTCACTATGTTGCCCAGGCTGGAGTGTAGCTGCTATTTACAGGAGTGATCACAGGACACTATGGCCTTGAACTCCTGGCCTCAAGCATGGCTCCTCCTTGGCCTCACAGGATCCTCTTGCATCAACTTTCTAAGTAGCTGGGGCTATGGGCATGCACCACCATGCTTGGATAACCCTTGATATTTTAAAAATAATTACCCCAATCCATTTACTTCATAGTTTTTATAACAATAATTATATAACTATTTGATTCTCGCTGATTTTCTTTTTCTCCTCTAGAACATGAGTTCCAGGAGGCGGGGTATGTCTGCTGCCACTCCCAGCACTGAGCACAGTGAATGGCATGTCATAAGAGCTGAATGAATGAATGAACAAAAGGCATCAGAAGGGTCTTGAAGTGTCCCCTAGAGCCAGTGCGAGTTTCTGTGGCTGGAGCCCAGGCTGGGATAGCACCAGGTAGGAAGTGGGTGTGACCTAGCCTCAGGTCTCAGGGGCTTTCGTGATTCAGTACAGTGCAGCATTTCCCGACACCGCCTCTGCACCCCTGACCTCCACACCCTTTCCTGGGAGAGGCATCCTTTCCCCTTTTGTGGCTCTTTTGCACCCTGTGCAACCTTCCGCTGGGAGACCTGGGAGGTGTCTGTTTAAGCTTATGCAGTTAGGTAATGGAGGTAGGACAGAGTAGTGGGTAAGAAGGAAGGCTCTGGGCACAGAGACCCCCCTGACCTTTGAACCCCAGTCTGCCACATTCTGAGGACAACTTGATGCCATAATACTGAGTGTTCACTCACATAGGAAGTGCTATGTAAGTGTGAGCTGTATTACTGTTTTCGTGTGCCAGGCACCACTCTAATGTCCTTTTCTTTCTTTCTTTCTTTCTTCCCTTCCTTCCTTTCTTCTTCTTTTGGAGACAGTCTTTGCTATGTTGCCCAGGCTGGTCTTGAACTCCTGAACTCAAGCAATCCTTTTGTTTGGAATTACAGGCATGAGCCACCACGCCCAGCCTATTGTCTTAAATTCATTTACTCCATACAACCTTATGAGATAGTTGCTATTATTATTATTTTACAAATGAGGCAACTGAGGCATAGACAACTTGCCCAAGTCTGTGGTGCTAGGAAGCAGCTAGAGCCAGGATCTGAACTCTGCAGTGTGGCTGCAGAGCCCACCTTTCTTTAAAACATTTTTTAAAAGTTTCACATTTTAAACGCTGGTGCTTAGGTTGGAGTGCAGTAGTGTGATCATAGCTCACTGTAGCCTCAAACTCCTGGGCTCACGAGATCCTCCCACCTCAGCTTCCCGAGTAGCTGGGACTACAGGCACACACCACCACACCCAGCTAGAAACCACCTTCTTAATCCCCATAGCATTCTATTTCTTTGAGCCTCAGTTTTCATATCTGTAAAGGGTATAATAATACCAGCTTAACAGGGCTGGGATAATATATGATGTGACACTGCCTGGTACATTGTAGTTTGCTGTGACAAAATTGATAAACAGGGGCCCAACCAGGGAAGGCTTTGAAGGCTTTACTCTGAGGGTATTGGAGAATGATTGAAGGTGTTATTTTTCCCTTTTTTTTTGTGAGTTGGGGGTCTCACTCTCTTGCCCAGGCTGTAGTGCAGTGGCACAATCATGGCTCACTGCAGCCTCAATCTCCTGGACTCAGGTGATCTTTCCACTTCAGCCTCCCGAGTAGCTGGGACACACCACCACACCTAGCTAATTTTTTAAATTTTTTGTAGGGATGAGGTCTTGCTATGTTGTCTAGACTAGTCTTGAACTCCTGGGCTCAAGTAATCCTCCCACCTTGGCCTCCCAAAGTGCTGGGATTATATAGGTATGAAACTACCACATTTGGCTCACTGAAGGTTTTTGAATGAGAGAGTGGCATAAAGAAACTGCAGTTTACCCCAAGGCCTACCCTTTCTCTCCTTAGTTTCCCACCCCTCTAGCCCCAACTAATAACAAGATCCATGCTGCCTGAGGTTGGTGTCTGAGTTTCATGTCCCTAACATTTTATCTCCCCTGAGATTTTGAGATTTGAGCTGTGGAAAGGCCGTGACAGGTCATTCCACACTTGAAACGAATGGATTGGGAAGGGATGCTCTCCTTCTTCTCCTCAGGACAGACATTCTTGGTCTTGCTGGCCTCATCTTAAGGGCTGCCTCCGAGGGCCATCTGTGGCCCTATTTCTGTCTCTGCTTCCGGTACTAGTGACCGAGAGAAGTGTCTGGGTTTCTCCCAAGATTGACTGGTTTCCACTAGGTTCCATCCCTTCCACGGCGGTGAAGGTGAGGTGAGACCAAGATGAGAACTTGTTGGGAAAGGAGGAGGGAGAGAAGGCAAGGAAAACGAGAAAGTGGGAGAGAGAGATGCTGGGCATGAGAGCCAGAGTAGAGGAAGGCTGGGCTCATTGCCTCAGAGTGGGTGCACCTGGAGACACAAAGGAGCCGTCTGTCCTAGTATTGTGTTCCCTTGTTCAGACAGTTGCTGTGAGTATGTATAGGTGCACACACATAAACACACCCGATTCTGGGTACATGTGTCCATATAGATGTGCCTGGGATGTCGTGTGCACCCTGTCTGCTTACCTGTGCAGGTGTGTGTAGATGGGTCTCTGCACACAGATTAAGCCTGTGCAGTGGGCCATGCAGGTCCTCAGCCAGCATCACCTCCTCCACGTGAGCTGCCCCACATTTGTCCACCTTCCTCTCCTTGCGGTAGCATGATCACATTTCTCAGTGAGGCTCTGCTTATCTGTCCCCTTCTCTGTCTCTATCAAGTGCTTCCTGCAGGAAAGCCCACGTCCTTGTCATCTCTTACTCTTGGAAACAAAATCAGGGCTAAGTAGAGAGGAGGGCTCACTGTGCAAATTGAACACATATGTTGATGTGAGTGTGTCTAATCCCAGAAGCATGTGTGTCTGTGGGTGTGTGTGTGCACACACATTTGCACCCAAGGGAGTTAGGTACATGGGCATACATGCATGCGCACACACTGTGGGGGGTATTGCAGAAATCTGTAGGCATGGGGTGTACCTATCAGCTGATTTCTGCAATGCCTACAGATTTCTGCAATGGTGTGCTGGTCAGTGTCAAACAAACCTGCTCTTTACTTTAAAAATAATCCTTGATTTGTAGCATTTGCCCATTTCTGGGGTGTAAATGCTCCCACTGTGGCCGATTTTGAGCTGTCGATGTGGCATCACTGTACACAGAGTTGGGAAGAGATGATACACGGTTGACTCACGTGAGCCCAGGGAGCTGGCTCCAGCACACGGCAGGATTTGTGACGGGAGGGCAGGTAGGGCACCATTCCTCTGGAGATGCTTCCTTCCAGTGCTGTGTCCTGGAGATCAGGTGTTGTTGACCACCAGCCAGGTTGCTCAGTCTCAGGCTTGGAAGCCAGTCCAAACCTGTGCTCGTTAGGCAGGTCTAGACACTCACCTAGACAGCGCCTTCCCTCCCTCCCTGCAGAAACTCTTGGAGTCCTGGAGTTTGGTGAGGTCAGCACAGCTGTGGGAGGGATGGATGGAGGAGGAAGAAGAAGTGCTTCGAACTCTACCGTGGGGCGAGGGGCGGCCAAGGTGAGGGAGCGTCCAGAGACTGGGGCCTTGTGCCCACATGCAGCCAGGCTTCTGTGCAAGCTTGGACACACCACTCGCCCTTTCTGGCCTCCGATCGCGACTTACTTCCATGAAAAGCCAGGTCCTCTGAGCTCTGTGGCCTTCATCTGACCCTCTGGGAGTCAGTCCTTGGGCTGGGTTCTGACTGTCAAAATCTACATTCAAAAGCCAGAGAGAGGCTCTGCTGCCCTTAGACGTGGGCAAGAGGGCCCCTGGGCTTCGGGGGACGCTGCTCTGGCCCTCCCTGGACCACACATTCTCCCCATGGTGGGAGGAGTCCACGGGCTAAGAGGACGTGCTCACCTCGAGCCCCGCCCCCGTCTGGACCCTCCTCTGGAATTTCTGTCCCCAGAGTCAGCTTCAGGGCTGGCTGCCATCTGTCCTCCTGAGGGTGGGCTGCTCGAGTAGCAGTTTGGGGGAACTTGGATGTGCACCCCTTTTGTGGGAGACACCCCACATGCACATGCTGAGTGGAACTGGAGGTGGAAAGGGAGGGGAGCGGGCAGTGGGCCTGGAGCTGGGGTCAAGGGCCCCAGGGTGAGCTGCCACTTTCAGGCGCAGAATTCAGAGGAAGTTGAGAATTCTAAATTCCATCGTAGCCTTCTAGGTCATCAAAAAGATATAGTTGTCAGGACAGGATACACTATATTTTTAAGTTTGTTAGTTTAATTTGTAGCTGTCAGGTCTTTAGACTTATGGCACGTGAGCCTCTGTTTACACTCTTGCCCTGGACCCAGCAAATATTAGGGGTGAGCCCAGAGAGAGAGAGAGATCTGTGGGGCTTGGCAGCGTGGCCTCAGGGGACTGGGGCTGAGCCGAACAGGGACTTCTGACACTGGTCAATTCTAGATAGGGCTTTACTGGGCCCTGTGGTGCAGGGCTTACCTTCTCTTAGGTCTGTGTGTCTCTCCGTCTCATCTGCCTGCCATCTCCTTTATCTCAAGCCCTGGGAGAGCTGTATCATGACTGAGGTTCCTCCCTCCCCAAGACCCCACCCCCAGAGCTCATGGAGAAGCCCTGGTCTGTGTCTGAGCTGGAACTGTCTGGTGCTGTCCCGGTTCCCATTGCTGTGTGATTATGGCTGTCTCTAAGGTGACACGGATACTCCTCACAGATCACTCTTCTGGCTCCAAATGAAAACATTAAAATAACCAAGTCAGGTTGGGTGCGGTGGCTCACGCCTATCATCCCAGTGTGGTGGGAGGCTGAGGCAGAATTGCAGCCTGGGCAACATAATGAAAGCTTGTCTCTCCAAAAAATATGTAAAGATTGGCTGGGCATGGTGGCACGTGCCTGTAGTCCCAGTTACTTGGGAGATGGAAGGATCACTTGAACCCAGGAGGTCAAGGCTGTGGTGAGTCAGGATCTGCTGCTGTGGTGAGCCGGGACGGTGCCACTGCACTCCAGCCTGCATGACAGAGTGAGACCCTGTCTCGAAAACAACAACAACAACAAAAAACCAACCAAACCAACCGACCAAACAAACAAATCCTCCTCCAAAGAAAACAGGCCAGCAAGTCCCTACCATTTTAATTAATGGGACCCCTCTACTTTCTTGTACGTGATGACAGAGGCCAGTAGGGTGAAGGAAGCTTTTCAGAGCACTGGGTCCTACTGTTTCCGGTTTTAACAGCTTTGGTTAGCTTCACTTTTGCCTTTTTCCTGTTTGTCACGGCATCAGTAGTGAGTTTCTACCTGACCTTCCGGGTCAAGGATAATAAATTCAGAAAGGTAACAGGAAGATGGGTGCAGGGAGGCACTGGTGAAGAGGAAGGAGGGTTTTACAATTTGCCAACAGATGAGTGTTTTCTTTTTTGGTTGCTCTTTAAGTCTTGATTTGATTTTGAAATAACTTCTTTCCTCCTACCCTATTGGTTAGGACAGTTTCTTAAAGCTAAAGTGAACAAAATTAAATGTCGTTTTAGAGGCATTTACAGCCCTCCTTCAAAAAACTGGCCCTGGCAGATTGACTCCAGCCCAGGGCTGGACATCGGTGGGCTATTTCTTTAGCTGCCTTCAAATGAGGCCCTTCTCCGGTGTCAAGGGTCACATGCTCCTGTTAGTATCTCATCTTGTCTTTCTCATCTCTTCAAGTTGAGAGAAGTCCCAGTCTTCTTCTGCCACTCCGTGGCCCCTCCAAGGAGCACCCCCTCTGCAGGGAGCCCTTGGAGTAAATTGGCAGGGTCATGTCCATCCAGGATGTGCACTTTTAGGGGAAAATTGGAACCCTGGAGTGTGATCGAGATATTGAGTGAGGCTGGTTTCTTCTAAAAGAGAGAGCTCAAGGACGTCAAGCTCTCTGTCTTCAAATATCTGAGGGACTGTCATGCTGAAAAGGGAAGGGATTTATTCAGTGTTGTTGGAGTGTGAAGGAAGAGGTGGATTGAAATTCACTGTGCAGTAGAGCCTTTTGCCAACGAGTGCTGCCTAGCTGTGCCTGGTGCTATTTTTGGAGGGGGTGAGCCCCCTGTCACTGGAGGCGTGCAAGTATCAGTAAGAGTTATTGAAGAGGGGACTCATGACCTAGAAAGTGGGGACACCCTGTTGTTAGCATTGAAGCCTCCCATCCCCCACCCCTGAAAAATCTGTGCTTTAGAATTGTTTTAAATAGGATGCTAGGAGTTGGGAAAGCAATTAAAGAAATCCACTGAAGTGAGGACCAAGCTATAAAAAAAATCTTTATTTCATGTACCAGGATTTTTTTTTTTTTTTTTAGTTTTCTGCTTTTTAAAATTTTTTCTGTTAACAGTCTGAAAAAAAAAAAAAAAAGGACCCACCAAGAAAATAAATGGAGGTTAGTTTCTTGAACTGGTCTGAGCTGGACACGAGCAATCGTCCACCCTCGGAAGCAGCGCCCTTGTGGTCTTGGTCCCGGCTCCTTCCCTCCGGGCCCCCTAGCCCTTTCTTGGCCAAGCTGGTGTCACCCTACACCCCATGGCTTTCTTCAAGCAGACCTAGGCCCCAGGCCTTGCCTCCTGGAAAGAAGCACTTCCCAAACACCAGAACTCAGAGAACTGGGGCCAGTCTCCCTCTGTGAACAGTGCCTGCCTTGCTACTATGTCCTTGGTGACTCTCCCTTCTCTCTACTCTTTGACCCCTTCGGTCTGGAATCTGGTGGGGTGGTGGGCTGGGGTTTCGATTTCTGCCCAGACTGAGAATGCCTTAGTGGCCATCACACCTTGAGTTGGCTCCCATCGCTCTGCTCTGTGGCCTGTGGCCTCCCTGTGTGCTTCTGGGCTGGGCTGGCAGATGTTCTGCCCTGTGCCTCAGGCCGAGTTGCAGGGCGCCAGCGGCTGCTGACCTGGGAAAAGAACTTTCCCTTCCCAGACAAAAGACAGGAAGGGCAGCTGGGACTATACAAGCTCAAAAAGACTTGCTGGCCACTCTCCCTCTCCAGCTCCCCAGATGACCTCAAGGCAGGTCAGTGAGGGGAAGGATGCTAACCAAGGAGATTCGCTGGTGGAGGCAGGGCGCCTCACCTTCAGGGGAGTCACTCACCGGCTTGTCTGAAATGCCTAGCTCCAGAAAGCTGTTGGATTTCTCCCAATCTGAACTGGTCCTGGTCGCTCCGGAGAAGTAAGGGGAGAAACTTGGGATCCCTCCCCGTCCCCCACACTGGACTTGAGTCTGTGGTACAAGTTGAGCTTTTGGGGTTGGTCCTTAAAAGGTTGGGGACCAAACTTTGCTAAAACTCTCCTCTCCACCCCCTTGGCCTGAGCTCCTCCCAGCACAGCTTGGAAGATTCTCTTTTTCACAGACCCCCAAAGAAAGCAGGGGAACGCTGGTGGCTGATCTTGTCTCTCAAGGAAGCCTCCTTCACTCTCCATGACCGACTTGTGGCATTACAGAGAGGGGACATGAATGAAAAATGGCTTTGGGGGCCTATGTGTCTTTTCCTTCTTAGTCTGAATAGCAGGATACGTTTGCTCATGTATGTGTATTTTTGCTTTGACATTGGATGTGGGGGAAGGGGCTTGGGGAGCACAGTGAGGAGGCATATGGGATGTGAGTGAGTGAGTGAGTGTGTGTGTGTGTGTGTGTGTGTGTGTGTGTGTGTGTGTGTGTGTCTTGGAGAGGCTGATGGTTTGGGAATGTTCTGAGTGTCTGGGGGCTCAATGGCAGCTGTTCTAGTTGTCCCTGGCATATCCTCCGGGCGGGTGACGGATCTTAAAAGTCACAGATACATAGAACAAGACAGGGCCTTTGGAGCTCATCTGGGTCAATCCACATGCTATAGGGGGGAGGAGGCGGGGGGAAACTGAGGCCCAGAGAGAGACCATGCAGCAAGGAACTCCAGAATCCAGTCCAGAATTCTAGACTGGTGCCCTTCCCGTGCATGTGAGTATGGTGTGTGTGTGTGTGTGTGCGTGTGTGTGCGTGTGTGTGCGTGTGTGTGTGTGTGTGTACGCACATGTATGTGCGTAAGTGTGTACATGGTGTGTTGGGAGGGCATGTGTAGGCATAAAGGCCAGCGTGGAGTTGTCCATGGCTTTGGAGGGCATGCATCCATTTTTTTCCATGCCCCTGGCTGTGTGTGGGATGGAAGGGTTTAGGCTGAGTGTGTCCCTGTGAGCGGCTGCAGGGCTGGGCTTAGAGGACTCTGTGTGTGTGGGAATGTGTGTGTGCGAGTGGGGCGTGTGGTCTCCTTCTCTCTCAGGACTCTGTCTCCCCCCATTCGCAGCACCTTCCTGGTCTGAGGAGTCCTCTTTCAGGCACGGAGGCCACCTCAGCTCACTGGAGCCTTCCTGGTCTCCCTCTGCCTTCAAGCCCAGCTCTCCTCTCTCACAGCGGTTTTGTTTTGTTTTGTAAATGGACTTGTATATTTGTTTTCTGTTTTTTTCTTTACAAGTTCCCTGCTAAATTTTAAGTCCCCCACCCAACCCCATTTTTTGTTTTCACAGTTTAAAGCTGGAAAAGAATTAAAAGAAAAATACTATCTGATTTTCTTGCAAGTAAATCCACTTATTGTATATTTACATTTATTTATAGTCTGTGGTTTTTTTATTAAAAAAAATCACCACTTGTTTTTCCTTTTTCTTTTGTAAAAAGAAACCTTTTTGCAGTGTCATTGTTGAACCCGCTGGGCCCCGAGGGGGCGTCAGTGAGTCCAAGGACCCCCAAAGGGTCAATGAACCCCCTTCCCAGGGGACTGGGGGGGCCTATGAGTCTGGGGGTCCACCATTGCCCCAGGGTCACCAGGTGGCCCTGAGGTGAGGGGTGAGAAGGGAGAGCTGCCTTATGTCCCCCGGGGGGTGGGCATCTCCTGACCCCAAGGGCAGGAGCTTTGGGGATGTGACCCCAAGAGGCTCACCCTGAGGATTCCAGGGTTACCGGCATCTCGGCAAGCCACTGGCAGCCATCCCTCCTCTTTCCCTTTCCTCAAGGCCTAGGAAGTCATCACAGTGGGTTAAGGACCATTAAGGACCGGGAACCTGGGGCTGGGCATGCCCCAAGTACACCCCCCTCCAGGCACCTAACGGACAGGAGGGACCAAGGACTCGGGTCACCTGGAGGCCTACGATTGCCCCGTCAGTGCTGGGTGGAGCCGGCTCGGGAGCCACTGGGCTTTCCCAGCGTTCCTGGGGCACCCACCCAGGGGCTCCAGGGACCTGGCAGTGACCCCGGGGCCCCTGAGTCTCTGTCCCCCACTCTCCCAGGGAGGCAGGGCCCGCTGGGGGTTAAAGGGAACAGAAAAGTAACTCTCCCCGCGTTAAAAAAAAAGTAACATAAACCCTGATAAATACAAAGGACATCCTGTTTCCTTTCTGTTCCTTCTCATTTTTTGCTTTAATGTTATCTTGGTTCCCTTTTGTTTTTTCATTTAAATTGGTTTTTATTAAATGTTAAAATAATGGTACATGGGAAATCATGCATTTTCTTTTAGATTTATTTTCTATTTTTAATTTTTTTATCCCTCTCGCTTTGTTTAAAGTTTGCGTTTCTTCCCTCGTTTATGTTTTCCCACATTTCCTGTTGTTTTGCTGCTTTGTTCCTCTTATATTTTGTTCTTTTTTTTTGAAATTTACTTGTTACGTTTTTCTCTTTTTTTGTGTTTTTTTTTGTGTTTTTTTGTGTTTTTTTGTTTTTGCTTTTGGAAGG